ATCAGAATAGGACTAAGTCACGCAGAGATGCACTTTGGTCTCTGGTTGAGCAACTGTCATCTGCATTTAGGCACCCAGATCCTGAGGCATATGGTTTATTCGAAGATGTGCCAGACATTTTACGGAAAAGGCAGAGAACATTCTTTCATTTCACGACGTTGGTAAACAGCGTTTCCAGAAAATACTTGCGCATGACGTATATAAAGCTGAGAAACAGGTATCCGTGCAAGAAACGTGACTTGTTATAATCTCGCTCAACTTGAGGTGATGAAAAAGCGAAGGAATGGTCAACCTGGCGAATACTAATATTAATACATCGTCAAATGACAGTCAACGACATATTTCACGGGAGCTAAGCAGACGCGTCGCATAACCACAGAAACAGAAAAACAAATACTTGCTCGGCTATTAACGAAGAGCTCGAAGAAAAAATCCAGGAAGTGGTATTAGAACTTTCAGACTGGGATACGAATAAAGTTAAAAAAAAGTTCGAGAGATTACTACAGATAACAATGAGTGAATTAGTGATATTTGCTTATTCCCCGTTCTAGGATTTGCCCATTTCGGGATCCTGAAAACGGGTTGACCCATTTCGGTTTGTAATGATCTACGAAAATTTTTTTATCACTGTAACACACACTAACAGATATTTTGTAGACTATACCAAATATGTATAACAAGCTTCTTTTTTTTTTTTACATATTTTCAATAGACACAACTTGTTCTATGTGGTTTGACCTATAACTACGCATATCAAACAGCCATTATATCACTTCATAATGTGCAATAATGATATCAATAATATAATAAACACCCGAACAAGCGAATTTATTTATGAATAGCAAATATGAATAACATAATAATAATAATAAAAGTTTCTAATTAGTTAACGCTTTTATCAACTAGCAGTTATCTGTTAACATTGTATAAAACAGATTACATCGCACATATTCTCTCTAACACACATTTTTTGAGTAATAGAATTTTTGTTTCGCCTATATGAATTATACTGAACGTTTGTACTCAGTGTTTATACTTTATCTGACCGCAAGGATTCTTTGGTCAGAATGGCTTTGCGTGATGCTCATACATTTAACATCAAAGGTGTTATTAGAATGAACATTGTTAGTATTATTGTGAATAGTATGCTATGTGTATCACTGTGATAAAAAAATTTCTCATTTTTGCAAAAATCGAAATGGGTCAACCCGTTTCAGGATCCCGAAATGGGTCAAATACTAGAACGGGTCATAACAAGTGTATTATGATCATTTGACGAACAAATAATATTAATTAATCGTAAATCGCTATATTAAATTCGCTGTATAACAACACATAAAAATTTATTTTATAAATGTCTTTCTTATCAAGAGAAATAGTAACTGGCACGACTGTATGGTACGTTCGACAAAGTCATGCTGAAATTACTGACAATATTGGAAAGGCAACATATTATATTCAGATTTATTGTATATTACTATTACTGATTTACGCTATTTAATAACCAAAATAATATAATAAGTAACAGACTATATATTGTAATATGGTAATTTACCCAAATACAAATAAATAACATCATGCATATTAATACTTTTATTTATATGTTATAATTGTAAATATCGAGAACAGACAAGTTGTACATCTAACATCAAGGGTCATATGCGAATTACTCCGCACCGCTACAGAGCCTTTACATCCCTTGTGCTAGCCTTGCTGTCTCAACCACAACCTCATCGCACCAGCTACAAGAAAAAAACTCCTAGCGAAAAAGAAAAAACCGGCCTTTTGGTGGTCAGGGTCAGGGTCAACCAGCCGCAGTAACGCCACCTCCATTACGGAGGAAATCCCCAGCGTGCTGCCATAGCAGACCACACTGAAACCGTGATCCGTCCATCAAACTATAACCTGCCTTCATCACCTTTTGTTTCTCTGGGTACAGTCAGGTGCTAAAATTTAATAGGGGATGTCTAAATTCGATCTGTACATTTTAAGAAAAGATCTGATTGGGTCAGACCTCTTTGATCAATTTTCTGAAAATGGTATATATGGTGGTGACACTGGGTGTGCATGTATATAAAGCAGCACATCCATCAATACACCCACATTATATCAGACGTGATGATGAATGATACAATAGATAAAGCTGCTGAGAATATAAAAAAGCTATATCAAACGAACAAAAGCTTTCTAAACGCCCTTGACAGTCTAGCATTAGAAGATAATGGATTACATCATATCCAACAAGTAGCGCATATCTACTCCACACTCAAAAACAACCCATTACACCCTCTCTACGAACACCTCGATCGTATCCAGACCACGTTAATGTACGTGTGTGCCGAAAATCCGACAACCAGGGAGGAAATGCGGTCAAATCTAACGCAGTTAGCAGCCGAGTATCTTCCTAGACCTAAACACACCAGCACCGACTCTCCCAGTCCTAATACTTATACTGATTCGGCTTCAAGGAAAAGCTGCGAAGAATTAAATTCTAAAGCCAGTTTTGAAAATCCTACGGAGGAAGTGGAGGAAGCAATCAGTCGACAATTTTCACTGGCTATGACTATCGGAAACCGCGTGCTGGATCAGCATATGAAATGAACAAAAATCTTATCGATGTCCATTTTCTCTAAAGCACTCCCTGAAAATTCCTTGTCCTCGATGGTTGCTTATATGTTATTCCCTTACTGTTTTTTTTTTACTTTTGACTTCTTGTGTAATTTCGCTATTATTGTGTAACTTCGCATCCGCGTGTTGTGATGCATAACGCAAATATGAGAAGCATAATTGTACACGCATCCCTTATCCCTTGGAAGTATGTATGCATAATGCAAATATAAGAAGCATAATTGTTAAGTTTTTAATAAACATTTTCAATTTATCGAGAGTTTTTGGCATTGGCTTTTCTACATTGTCTCAAAAAAATTATGTATTGGGTTTATATCTAGACTGCTGAAAGATTAGTCTATAAATTCTCCCGCAAGAACTCCTTGGCAAGACAACTCGCATGTTTTGGATCGCTTTTTTGTTGAATTGCCCAACACCTCCAAACATTGTGTTAGCATCCCGGGTATGCTTTTGAAGGATTTCAACGTAAAATTCGGCATACGTTACCGTCGAAAGCAAAATATACTTGTTTTTCCTCTTGCCAAAAAAAGTTTCGGGTTTTTTGCTATTCAGCTCCAGAGTAATTGCAAGTTCTGATAAGACGACAACCTTATGTGATTAAGTAACATGACTGAATTTTGCGTATATAATGAAGTAATATATTGTTACGGATATTGCTATGTATTTGTTCATAATGACGTTTTGCGAATGTCGTGCTGGTTTCTCGCAGGCGGTTATGCGCGCCTCAAGTGACAAGGTAATGTAACACTTATTATGTTGGGCTGCGACTGTCTCTGTTCACGTGTCTAGACGAATAATAAGCTATCGTTGCTTCTGCTCTACAGTCGGTTCGCTCCATCATAACATAAGGAGGAATGTGGAAGGCAACACATCCTCTTGCATTGATACTGTTGTGATAGTATTTACGATTACTACATTGTTGATTTATCGAATTAAACAACAATTCCGTAAACCTCTGGATATCTGCGCTAAATACGAAGAAAAACTATAATGATAGTAATATAAATATATCACCCAACCAATGGTCAATTTGAATACATTAAAATTAGACCATAGAAAACCCTTTATCAATCTGACGATCGCCCTTTCCTCATTCCTGCACATATCAGTCTTTCGTCAAGAGTAAGTATCCGGATATGCCTTTGTGTCTAGCGGCTCCAGGGATTTAACATGGCTTTTCTTTGATTTTGAAATCATTTGGCGTTGTCGTTTCTTCTCGTTCACCCTCTCTCACCACACGCCACCCGCGGGAATGTCTCATAACTTCAACAGCATGGGCTACCATCGTCGTTGTCAACAACACATTAGCTTTTAAGAATAAATAAATAAAAGACAATACAGCACCACTAATATATACGATCGAGGGATAAATATAATGATAATAACTTCGTCGTATATATTAGTCCTATTCTTTATCGTAATACTATATGATCAGGGATCTATATTATTTACCGTAGTTCCGACCATATAGTAAAACAACAGCATGAAGGCCTTCGACGTAAAGTAAACTGGCAGTTAGTTTCGATAGGTCCTCTGAATGACGAAAGGAAACTCGCAGCATTGTCAAAGTAAACTGACGGTATAAAATAAAAATGAAGTCAAATAAATCATTTATCAAATTTCATTTCGGTATAAGTGAGTCAGTAATTTTTTTATTTTAACAGCGTTTCGGTATAGGGCTCGTAATTAATTATTATTTAGTTCATGAGTGAAATAGTTTCGTCAACAACTGTGAATTTAAACACACAAGCGACATAAAGTCACAGGGAAGCGCCTTCCAACCTTGCAGATTAAGTAGATTATACTTATTTTCCACTCCTTATAGCATCATATCAGACAACTTGCTTAAACCAAGTCGTCAAGCGGTCCTTCAAATACAAAATTCTAACCATTTAGCTGATTTTTTGGCTTCGTTATAATTAACTACATTGTCACTATCTACTCTTATATAGGTATGATAGCGACATCGCAGGTGATTTTTCTTGTACACACGATCGCGTTTTAGTTGTCTTGGGCTTAATACAAGATTCTGGTTTCAGCTTCGAGGATTATATTAACACTTACACTTGAAGCTGAGACTTACAGTAGGTAAATTATCAAAGTATCGTTCGGAACAATGACGGACAAGAAAGGGAAATGGTAAATCTGGCTGCGTTACTGCAGGATGTATCTACATTCAGTCAATAAAGTTAAAGTCTGCAATTGATATTCAATAACCAGATAGTTTGTAAGCGGACATAGAATTATATATTACTGTCTAAATTTAGTTAGTCAGAAATCTTACGTGAACCCAATAAACCATGGAACTTCATACTAATAGAGCGCGCGCTTCATGTACATTCGTAGTATCGCAAAGGCAATAGCCAAGGTTTTGTCGTCATTTACTATCGTTTCGCATTCGGAAGGACATAATGGTCTGGTATAATGCTCACGTTTTGTGATATGATGCTTAATTGTCATTGAAGCAATCATTCAATGTGTTTCGTTCAAATGGCGTTTACGAATTCAAAGAGTAATTTTGTATATACGCCCAGTTTTATAATGCGGAGTATGCAGATAGATAGCAGTCATGAACAGTATAAGATCTTTGATAATGAGCGAACGTACCCACACTGGTCCAAAATGTCTAATGATGGAATCTAGTCAACATCCCACTGTATTAGTTGGATAAGCTATCGCGGACATTTGGGTATATATAATCATCAAGCTTTGAAGTCAAGTTCTTGATGTGCAAGTGATAACAATAAAAATCGGATTTCATAAAATTGGTCGCGTGTATCTCGAACTTTATCAATACGGTCCGGGACTGTATACAGTCAGGACTGGATATAACGATACTTCCGTTAGGTCATATTTTCATCGTTATCGAGTTATCGTTAATACCGAGGATCCTTTTTGTAGCAATAACATAATGGTTACGAAAAAAAAAAACGTTATACAAGATATTATCGATATTCGGTTTTATTGAAAAAAAGATTCAATGATAATACAAACTACAGCCTGGTAACAAAACCGTCTAACATTCTTTTTGTGCAAAGGTCAAGCGTGTTCTTTTGGATATTAGGTGGTTTCGCTGGTAGTTCGTTTATTGAGTAGCATTTGTTTAGTATTCGGAAATGAATAGTATACTCCTCTTTATACCGGTATATAGAATGGTGCCACTTACTATTTTGCTGCTGTTGATTTTTGTTCAACTCGATCTTTCACAAAATCATCTAAGACTTTTTGCCTAAGACTTTCCACTTTTTTTAAATCTATACTACGTCGTAAACACTGTAAACTAAGTATATCTTCCCGTGTAATAAACGAATTATCTGGCTGTTGTTCGATAAACTCAGTTATTGCGTTAACGCCGTCTCAAACGAAATCTTTTTTGAGTCTCACTGACTCCCTCACTAAGTTTATTCGTATCTTGCTCATTAGTTTCAGATAGGACAATTTCAATAGTATCTTCGTCATTTACCATATCTTGAATAGGAATTGACTCATCGCAATAAATAAATTCTGGTTTTAATGACAATAAGCACACCCACCCCCATGATTACCACGATTACCTGCACATACTAATACCCCTCATTAACAGTTTATTACATAATGCACACGATTATAAAATCATTTTATAATACAATTCTGGTTACTGTGATTACTATAAACCAACCCCCTAAATTTGTTAGTTACGTGACTGTTTGCCGATCATTTTCATATGATCGAGGGGTGTGCTTATTCACGAGAATATACGGTATTTTATCCTCTGTCTTCCGTATCTTCAACCACTCCCGAAGAGTAATTATTCGACCGTACAAATCTCCAATCGTCCGAAGAGTAATTATCCGCAGTATAAATTTACTCGCACGTTATAGACATAACAGATAAACCATGAAAGGTTCTCCAAATGAAAAAAAAAAGTTACGATCAAATCTTTAAGTGTGCAGTAAATTGGCTTTCAAAACTCAGTTTTGATTCCCAAAATATTCAAAGAACAAATATTCTTATATATACGTTGAAGGTACAGTAGGTTGAGAAAATTCGGAACTGAAAATGGTATTCAAAGTCCTTTGCCTTACCACTTGGCTACACTCCCCATTCTTTTTGATCAATAAGAAAGAGCATTAAAAAGATTACTAAAGATAACCCACAAGACAATTTCCAGTTTAAATCCTGTATATAAAATCGGTAGTCTTTTGAATCAAAGAAAGTCAAAAAGCATGAAGCAAACATTCCAAACAGAAGATATACTTTGATTTACCAATTGACTTTTATTCTTGGGCGAGGTTAATTGAATGATAAGCGACCATAAACGCAAAGCTGTTGTGACGTAGAACTTTCTTAGCAAAGGGATTTCTTGTTTGCTTGAAACTGAGTAATTTCCGCCACCAATGACTTTGATTGTCTTATTGACTTGCGAATGTGATGTATAAACGGCTTTACTAAACATGTTAAAATATGTATGATGACAAGAGATCATTCGTGGCTGTAA